TAGGATTGTCGGAAGAGGCTAAATAAGGATGATTAATGGAAAATATTCATTAATTTTCGATATCTCAATTGACTAAAAAGAATACTCCTACAAAGATAGGTAGAGCATTAAAATTGCATTTTCCGTTAGTGATTAGGTTTTCGAGACTACTATGACACGCTGCACTGTCAGGGTTCCATTCCCGCTGGGGGTGCTGATAAGACCTAGGCGAGGTCGAAACTGTAGTCCACCCTAGATGAGAATACCTTTTGGGAAAGCAAGCCTATATTAAATTCAATGGAAACGTCAGCTATACTCATCATTGTGGCAAAATTCAACTACCAGTCTTTAATCACAAACGAAATTTATAGGCGGACTAAAGAGAAGCAACAGTGGTAACTGGCAGAACTAAATATAGAGAAAAATGTAAAATATATTTGTCAAAATAAGAACCTATCGAATTCTAATCATGTATCGTGAACTATGAATCCTTGGAGTGCTTCAAAACTGGCTGAAATGAATATAAATTAGGAAATTAACATTCTTATAGTCATTCATACGAAAGGACACATGGCTACCTACAGCTTAATGATTACCAAAAGTTTACAAAGAAGGAGGATATCAAGACCAGTCGTCAACACTATCTACGGAGCAACACACAAACTTGCAAGATTTATCACTAACTAAATAAGGTTAATGGTAAATTATCGAATTACCCTAATTAATTATTAATGTTATTTTTAGCAAACAACTTTCGTCCATTTCTTCCTAGACAGTTATAATTTGAATTTTTTATGTTGCCATGACAGGCTCTTTTGCCCAATCATAATAATTCACGCTAGATATTTGCCTCCCGTTCACCTTTTTACCTTTTCATAATTGCTCATATGTATTCAATCTATCATACTATTTTATCTTCGTCCCTTTTTCAATCCTAATTTTTCTCTATTCCAAACCATTTTCATTTAACCCACAGATCGCCACTGAAGCAACTGGTGGCTTTTGGAATGAGTCGACTTCGTCGGCGCGTAATTACCAACCACTTAGAAATGTTTCCGATGCCTGCCTACTCGATATGGAAAACAGGGCCGCGGTCGGTGGGTCCAATCGCTTACCACGATCTTCTGCTAGTGGGTCTGACTTATTTTCAGGCAGTTCCGCTGATTTAGAGCGGTGGCTCGATAGTTCTAATCAGAAGACACACACGGAGGAATTCTTTCAGTCCAAGGTGCGAGAGAACCTGACTCGACCCGAGTATGTTGCGGCAATTTTGATATGACTAGATCCCTCTTCCTTCACATTCATAATCGCTTTGAGTCATCCGAGCAAGTCTTTTAGATCGGAAAATTTCTTGTTAAGATGAATTAAGGCTGATTAAACTTTTTATGCCAGTTTCCATCCAAATATCGACATGACAGCATAAAGAAGATATGAGAAAAGGCTGGGCTTTGAAGAATACTTTAGTAGATTTAAGCTGGTATATCCTTTATTTCATTTAAAGGGGCAAGTATAAGGGCTTCGTGAATTGGCCTCGCCGGAGTCGAAGGAGGACTTATTCATACACATCTAGTCACAGCTCCAAGACAATCGTCCTTCAGCTTCTAATCAATCAAATTTACGAGTCCCTTCTATTCGCCTTTTCAAACGAAACTAAATGTATGCAAACCTCAAAGATTTAGGTCTTTTTTGCTTAAGATCAGCGCATGATTGCCATATTTTGACAGTAAGATGCCAGCTGCTTCGAATGCCAATTAAAATATTACATAATATCTATTTACTGCATAACATGTGCCTGTAATTTGGATTTAAAAAGTTTTTATGCCTCGGGCTTCCTGTGAGACTAAGCTAGCATGCAAATTTCGTCCAGCTTATTTTTCTTCTTGGTACCATACTATAATTTAATTTGGTTCTTGTTTCATTTTTACATCTTATTATTTTTATTTTCCCCTTTTATTTAATTCTTAGTAACATTCCACCCAGCGAGGGCGGCAAGTACATGGGCTTCGGAAGCAAACCGATCGCCGACTTCAGGGATCAGGACGTATCTACTTATGACTCTGCTGTCAAGGCTCTAAGCTCTGTAAGTAAACGTTCAAAGTGCGAATAAAGGTACATCATTAGTTGTTGATTGCTTCACAGACTTTTACTTAAACTACTTATACGTTCCATTCGAGCACACAATTAAATGTTGCAATGCTATTTAGACTGGAAACTATTTTTTAACTTTTTCATTGAGTTTATAATTAGACATATAAAGAAAAATATTGAACGGATGAGTTGTTGTTTTCCAATTTGTCTCGAGCTTCTATCCATAATGCCACACCTATCCCTTGTCCCTAGTGTGCCACTAGAGGCTTTGTCATGGCATTTACTAAATGCCTATAGTAGGGCTAACTGACTATGTTGGCGAATCGTCTGGGAATATACCATTTTCATGGCTCGATTCTTGAAATTATTATCTCTGAAAGTATTTTTGACAACACGACCAAGTTTCGAAAATGGGGTATAACCACTATGCAAAGGGAGACTGCGACCAAACTAGATACCACACTACCTTGATCTTGACACGGTTTTTAAATTATATGCTGATTGGCAACCAAAGTTTTCAGTCTTAGCATTTCAAACTTTCTTTTGAGGCACTTTATCAAGTTTTTAACAATTTTCCTAGCCTTACACAGCTTTTCCCTTATAGAATTAATCTTATTATTTGTCTAATTTACAATGCCTGTCAGCATTATATCATTAGAAGATATGAAGACCAAGATGGTGTGGCATTTTGTATGGTCAGACTCTCCTTTCGTTGTATGTAAGTTGTTCGACCTTGGTTTCGCAACTTGGTCATATTGGTAGGAAGACTTAGAGGAACACACCTAGTCCGGAGTCCATTGTACGCATGATAATTTTTAGAGTCGGACCGTGGAAGTGGTACACTCCCAGACGTTTCGCCTGCATCGTCAGTGAGACTAAGATGTCTGCGAAACGTCTGGGAATGTACCACCTCTACGGTCCGACTGGAAATTATCATGCATACTATAGATTCTGAATTAGTTGAGTAACTCCAGGTCTTCCTACCAATATGACCAAGTTGGGAAAACAAGGTCAAACAACTGCTAAATAAATAAGGTCTGTTGGAGACAGAAAAGTGATGTGCGTTGAAGGTAAAAAAGTGGGAAAAGTTGGGTTTCGAGGGATCTCTTGTTTCATAATTGTTGAACTTACTTATATTTCGAGTGAGAGTGTTTGATGATGAGATTCGAATGTCGACTCCACCAGAAGACGGCAGATTCCTCTCGATCAGCTGTCGATTGGCTTTGTTCGAAAATTCCTGTTGACACTGCTTCAGAGGTAATCTCTTTCGATTCTTTTGAAATGTGCTAAGCTTTCGTCCGTCGTATAATGAGCATCTTTAGAGCAGAGTATCATCCTTACAACTAAATTCAGGCTAACGAGCTAATCAACATCTTGCTATGATGAATACGCCGTCGTCTTCTGATGGAATCGACTTTCGAATATCTTTTTACTCGAAGTGGAAGTAAGCTCAACAATTATGAAATTATGATCCAAATTATCTTGGTCATGCTCCAATACAATTACTTTCTTATACTCTGTTCTCCACGTTATATTTCATGTCTATGTTTATACTTTTACATTTTTGACAGAGCTTCTCTGTGATGAGTAGGCTAGCCTCGGTGGCTGCCAAGAAGACTGGTGAGCTGGCCTCTTCGGCTAGCCAGAAGACTCGGCAGATTAGCTCTTCTGTTCACGAAAAGGTGGGACCAGCGATTCTTCAACATAGACATTTACTTTAATACCAATTATTGTTATTTTATGTTTATGCTTTCTGAAAAGCCTTAACTAAAGCACTTTAAATGGCAAGTATAATTGCTTGTCGATACAAATATCCAGCCTTGCCAAAGATCATATAGAGTTTAAACATCTAAAGTAAACATAAATGCATGTTTGAGGAGAGTTTCATTTTGTATGAAAGTGCATCAAGAAGAGATTCGAGAGTCTATCTCACCAGAAGAGGACGGCTGATTCCCATTGTATGATAATCGCTTCAAGATCGGTTAGTATTTGTAATTATCGGGTATTGTTGTACTCAATTATATTAACTATCGTTTGACCCTTCTTAACTGTTTTAAACGTATGTCATCACGCCTAGTTTTTGCACTTTGATGAGAAAATATCATTCCTACAAAGTCAATGTTGTATTATATCAAATTTATTTGTAAAAATTAAACGAGACTTATGATAGAGAGAGGGAAAAATTATTTATGTTTTTAGATATTAAATTTAGACTCAGGCATGATCTGAGTCAGTTTATCATCCTGGAGGATCTCCTCAAATTACAGAATATGATAGACAAAATATCGAAAAGGATATCGGACTTAATAAAACAAAGCACCAGAAAAAACTGAATGAATATGTAATCTATACGTAGCTCAGGGTCCAACCATCTTAAAAAAATGAAGAGGATTCTGGGCTGACGGATCTCACAGTCCAGACGAGAAATAAGGATAAAGTAGGGAATATGTCTTCCGTCCCTCTTGACCTAGAAATCACAAAGATCCTACAGAAGGGAATACATATTTTACTTCAGAATGAAAGGAAGGCAATCAAGGACATTTTATTGGAAGTGATAAATACCTCTGAGAAGCTATCTGAAGAATCAAAAAGGGAGCTGGAAATAGAAAGCATTCCAGCAATCTTGGCTCATCAAGAACCCACGCATAGAGACAATATAACAAATATATATATATATAGAAAATTGTGAAGAGAGAATCAAATAGTCCTACAGGCCGACAAAGAAGTTGCCACAGTGTTGATGGACAGGAAAGAATATACAGAGAAAATGGAAAATATTTTCGGGGACATTACAACTTATCAACCTAACAATAATAACGACATATTTCATGTTCAACGGCCGCATTTATGAGCAAATATTTGGTCTGTCTATGAACTCACCATTCTTACCTCTGTTGGCTAATGTCTTCATGGACATGTTGGAGGAGAATTTGAAAATGTCACCCCAGCAGCCAACAGTAATTATGCCATATTTGAATGTATACCTCGCAATTTGGTCGCAGGCAAGAAAAAATAGACGATTTCCTGATCTTCATAAACTAATTGGATGAAAAATGTCAAATTTACCATGGATTAGGAAGAGAACGGACACCTATTGTTCTTGGATGTGGAAGTCATTCGATCTGATAAAACTCTTAAGGAAATATTTTTCCGAAAGGAATCTCATTCTGGAATAACTTTTACCTTCCAGTCAAACCATACTTATGGGATGAAAATTGGAATACTCCGGGGTATGGTGACAAGAAGCCTTTGACTCACTGATTCAGACTTCTGGGAAGAAGGACTGGGAAAACTAACTCAGATGTCTCTTGGAAACGGATATCCAGAAGAAACAATACAACGCAGCATAACGAATGCGATCGATAGATGTAGTGCTCCGGAGTTTTTACAGTATAAACTGTTAAGACTGTAAGCAAAAATACATAGGAGATACGAAAAAGGCAAAGAGCACAAGGATCAGAGAACACCAGCGATTATGCAGAAAAATGAATACGGAAAGACCGGAGATAACTGAACGCATCGCCCTTAGCGGCCACACAATTGACTGTAAGCAATGGAACGACTGGCCTCATATGAGGAGAACATCAGAAAACGGAAGACAATGTATACATTCTCTTTCAAAGAAGCCTGATGAACAAGAGGTCGGTAGAAGAAAGAATCAACTATAATCTCACGTAAAGCCCGAGCAAACTTGGATAATTAGCGAATACACCAAAAAGAAGGTGCTTGGACCCAGGACAACTGTTTAACAACAGGAAGCGACATCTCCAAAGAGCTGCTCACGAGGACTAAGAAGAAGTCAATAAAAGGCGATTGCAATGAGAGGAGTCAAACGTGGAAGTGGCTAAAAAATTTACTCAGGGTGTTCACCTGTGAGTTGAGGATATGAAATTAAAGGCTATTGGTATCGGTAGGATAGATTGAGGTGTGTGTATGTGTAGTTGTGTAATTTTAGTTTCTGTGTCGTCAGGTTGTGCATGGGGTCTGCTTATAAGATAGTATCAATATTTGAAATGATGCATTCACAATGAGATAATCAGGAATTTAGGTAAAACTGTGATTAAAATTAAAATTTTTTAAAATATATACGTTTGA